ACAGGGAACCAGTGGGYAGACTTATTTACTAAAGGGTTGAGTCGGGGAAGAGTGGACTACATATGTAACAAGCTGGGATTATATGATATATACTAGCAGCTTGAGGGGGAGTGTTAGTGTCGAGTATGTAGGGGTATTTTTGTCTTTATACTTATGTTGAGGTTGTTGATGTGTAATATTACGTTAGAACTGCTGATGTGTAATATTACGTTAGAACTAGTGTCCTTCACTTAAGTAGGGGCACATGTGTCTTTTCCATTATGTTAGTAATATAAAACATATCTGGCCAAATGGGAGAGGTAATTTTTTTTCTCTCATTCGAACCAGACTTTCCATCTCTCCTTTTCTCCTCCTTTCTCTCTCTCTTTCTTTCTTCTTTCTTTCTTCTTTCTTCTTCTCTCTTCTTGGCTGTTATCAGACTAACAAAACTCAAGGGCAGGCCGAATCATAATATACTCCTTAGCATTATGAAATCTTATTATCTTGATTTTCTTCTCGAATTTAATTTTCACCATTTTGAAGAAGTTTTGAACAATGGAGGAAACTCCATCCCTACTCTTCATCAGATAAAGCCAGGTGTATCAAGAGTAATCAACAATGAACAGGATAAAGTATTTATAGCCACCCATACAAGGAATAGAATATGGGCTCCAAACATCAATATGTATCAAATTGAAAGCAACATCACTTTTTCTATTACTCACAAAATATGTAGTTCTACACTATAAGAGATGACAAACTTCACATTCCAAACTCAAGTTGGACACATACTGACATAAGTTTGGAAACAAAAACTTAATAGATTTAAAAGGCACATGACCAAGATGAAAATGCCACAACTTCAAAGGACTTAGATTTTCACTTTGACATGACTCAAATTGGCATAGTAATCCTTGCTCAAGGGCATGATCAAAAAGGTAAACTCCATCAGCTTCCTGTCCAATTTCAACCATCCTCACGTGCTCAGGTCTTAAAAAACACAATGTGAAGGAAAAATGTCATTGAACAATTATGGAATTTGGTAAAAGAACTAGCAAATAAAAGATTTTTGTGCAACTGAGGAACATGAAGGACAGAGCTTAGGGAATGGTTATGAGTGAGCTTGACTTCACCCAAACCTAAGATTGGAGATTGAGATCCATTAGTTACAATGACCTTACCTTTCCATGGAGCTAGTTTATAAGAGGTGAAGTGGGAAGGCATACCAATCATGTGAACACTAGCTCTAGAGTCTACAATCCAAGAGCTGGGAGAAGAAGATTGACAAGCAAGTGTAGTACCTGATTTAGCAAAAGCATTGGAAGGATAACTAGAACAAGCTGAGGTGAAGGACCCAAATTTCGCAAGCTGAGTCAATAGGCTACTAAGCTTCTCCATCACAACAAAGGAATCATGCAAAGGAGCTTGAACACTAGGAGATGGACAATGAACTCCCACAGTAGCAAAATGTGCATTTCCCTTTTTTGTTGTCTTAAACTTCTGAGGTTTCATATGTGGATTCAGCTTCCAACACCAGTCCTTAGTGTGTTTGGGCTTCTTGTAGTATTCATACACCACCTCACCAATTTTGGTGCTGATTGAAATGGTTGGGACACAATCACCCCCATACAACCGTAGGGATGTGATGTATGTAGAAGAATTTATAAGGCCTTCCCTTGCTTTATGAATACAAACTTGGAATTAGTGACAGGCTAAAACTTTGTATGGATCCTTGGTGTGAAGATAAACCTCTATGTGAGCTGTTTTCCAAACTCTACATGTTGGCTTGCAATTGGCAACAGGACTGTTTTGGTGTATGTGGTGGAAGAAGGTTCTGTTGGTTGTGCCCCAGAATTCAGGATAAATTTTAACGACTGGAAGCTATCCCAGGTATCAGAATCATTGGTTCTGTTTCAATCCCATTCAGTTAATATTCATACTCAAGATTCCATATGCTGGAAATGGTCTAAATCTGGTCTGTTCTCTGTTAAGTCTTGTTATCATGGTCTGGATACAGCAGTTAGCTCTGAGTTTCTAGTAAAGTCATATGGAGGTCTGCTGCCCACTCAAAGGTGAAGTTCTTATTTGGGTTGTGTCTTGGGAGAAATGTCTGACCAAACAAATGTTAATAAGAAAAGGGATTAATCTGCTGGACTCCTTCTGCCCCTTACGTGGGGAGGAGGAGGAGGAAGTCTTTCAATCATTTTTTTTTCTGCATTGTAGTTTCACTTATAAGATATGGGCGTACTTCTATAAGGCCATATTGTATCAGGGGTGCATGCCTTGTGATATTCAGGCTCCGTTACAAGGGTGGAAGGTTGCTGGAATGGGAAAGAAAGGAAGTTATTTTTGGGCTGCAATTCCATTGGCAGTCATGTGGATGGTGTGGCTGGAAAGAAACTCAAGGGTTTTTGAGCAGAAGAGCAATCCCGTGGAGAGAGTGGATGGCACAGTTGAAGCTTTAAGACAATGGCTGTTAGCGTCAGATTATTTCAAGGAGAATGAATTTTCATCTTCTTTTTGGCAGTAATTTATATATTTTTTGAGGATTCTTGAATATTTGTGGAGTTCTACAGAATCTCATTCTCATGTACAGTCACCTTTATTTGGCTATATTTATTAACACTGTCTATTTACACTTAGCTTGGGTTTGAAGAACATATAAGCCGGATGATCAACTATTGAAGTTTGCATCAAGGCAACCCTTCTACTCTCTTCCTGTACCAAGGAGTATGCAGTGGTAAGGGAAATAATATTTGCACTCAAAATGTGTTGTCGAATAAAATCATACTCAGCATTCAAGCTGGCTAATAAATCAAATACTCCATTCTTCTCAACATATTTTCGGTATTGTTCACCATGCTCAGGATTCTTCCATTCCAAGGCCTCCAGATGGTCCATTTCTTCCCAGAGAGATTGTAAGGAATAGAAGTACATAATCACACTCCTCTCCCCCAACACATATTGCAGGCTTCCCTTCGAAGTAGGTAAACTCGGGCTGTATTCCTAACATTGGAGTATGTGGCAATAACATGATCCCAAATGTCCTTAGCAGTAGAGAGAAACATGTAATTGGGAGCAATATGGGGCTGCATTGAATAAACCAACCATGACATAACCAATGAATTTTTCTATTCCCACTTGAGAAATTTAGGGTCATCAGATTTCAGTTTCACCTCCTTGCCCGTAATGAATCCCAGCTTACCCCGTCCTCCAATGGTAAGCTTGGCATATTGAGACCACTCTAGGAAGCTGATTCCATCAAGTTTTACAGTGGTATCATACCACTAGAAGCATCAACATTTCCTGGGAGCATTATGGAAACAGTCTATACCTCCTTAGGCAATTCCAGTTTTGGACTAGCAACTTGACAACCCTACTGCACTACAACAATCAACCAGCACCCAATAGACCCACTAAAATAGGTCAACACTCGTTTTGGAGCCAAGAGGAGGCCAAAAACAATTGGCGCAATATAGGAGGAGAATAAAATCTCCCAAAAATTAACTAGGGTTCAAAAAATTGTGGAACCACTTCCCACATCTCCATAAAGGTAAAACGACCTGAGGTAGTAAGTCTCAAGCAAGAAACAACTCCAAATAGGAAGAAAAAAAATCTCAAACATCGAAACTGTATTTTTCTACAATTTTCAAGGGTCGCCGCTAGTACCTGCATAGACTGCTGATGTCATCCAGTGGCGGTCTGACACTAACAGGTCTTCATGGGTTCAAAGATCAACAAAGAAAGGATTTTCTTATATCCCAACCTGCTCTGATACCAAGTTGGAATGAGAGTATAGGAAGAAGAAGAGAGAAGAGAGAAGGAAGAGGAAAAAGGAGAAGAGAAGAGATTTCGTGAGAAACAAGGTGTGTTCTTGTTCACACCCAAAACAAATCTCCTTTTACTTAGCAAGAGAAAAGTTACATTTATGCCCTTGAATGGGTGCCCAAATACAAATACAGTGAAAGACATAAATACCCCTACCCACAATGCATAATCTCAACACCAAAAGAAAGATATGAGTAGGGATTCACTATTCCCCATATCAGCATTTAGTATTTTCAAAGAGAAAAGAAACAATAGCAACCATGTGGACTTGCTAAGTATTATGAAGCTACTGAAGATATAATCTTGGTTCTTCAAGGTAATGAACTGAATTCCACTAGGATACAAATCTCTCCAAAACAAAGCTTCTTAGAAGCATTTAATATGGTCATATCCATAAACTAGGGAATAGACATATGAGATCTTCCTTCCTCTTCTTCCTCCTCCCCCTCCCCCTCCTCCTTCCTCCTCATCCCCCAACTCTTAAGGAGGCTTATGCTTCCTTGTGTTCAGGAGGCTTACGCCTCTTACATTCTAAACTACATCTCACACCTCCAGGTAGTGGAACACCTGGTGTCACGCCTCCCTGTGCCTACCCCCTAAAAGTGGTCAAAACTCCAAAACCCCTGTTTTTAGAGTATGGGAACCTGCCGATATGATACATACACCTGATATAGGGCATATCATATCGAAATTTTGAACCTTGGGTTTTGGACGTTTTTTTTATTAGTTTTGGACCTTCATTCTTCAAAGCATCTTACCAAACTTCTGCATATAAGATATAAAAAAAAAGGTCATATTTGCATATAGGCCCATTCATGGGCCAGGCTTTGCCACTTATTAACAAAAATTGTACAGGCCCCAAGCCCAAAGCCTGGCCCAAGATACAATTGTACACCTAAGTTCGAACATAAAAAAAAAATACACAAAATAAAAAAGACTACATAATAATACAAGTTATTTCCTAATACCTATTATATAATATTATCAGGCTGGGCTTATTTAAAAAGTCCAAGCCCGACCTGAAAAACAATCGGGCCTAATACTTACATCCAAGCCCGAGCCCATGGGCCTCAAACGGGCCGGGCTGGGCTGGGCAAGCCCCCTGGGCTACCCGGCCCATGGACAAGTCTATTTGCAAATTTAGCTATGAAAATGTAGAAACGTGAAAGAATATAGTTATATTAATAATATACCTTCCCAAGGTCTCCATGGAAGAAATTGCACACTGCTACAAATCTATAAGAAAATGGTGCTAAGGATACAAGGTTCACCCAGTTATAAAATCTCCTAGAAGTCTAGAAGACATGAACCATTTAACTAATAATCTCAAAGTGCATGACAAGAACCAAAAGAAGCTCATATGAGACTTGAAAAAATAATGATAAAGGATACACTCGTGTGGGCAGCTCTTAATGTCTTATAAAGGCACTGCTGGCGAATGTCAATGATCTGCCAAAGAGACCAAAGTTTAGCATTTCAATAACAGAAAAATAATAGGTTTACCAAAAAAACTTTAGATACTAGTAATGGATGTTTTACAGATCAAATAAACTTAGATACTAGTGCTATAATGATAAGAGTGTGTACATATGTGGGAGGGAGGAGATGGAAATAAACAGTGAATATAAACTATTCAAGCAATTCTATCAATATGATAGATGACAGTCACAGAAGCATGGAAGTATACTAACTCTTGGTCCTACAAGGTACACCACACCAAATAAGAAAGAAACTGATATAAACACTTAGGAACCTTATGGTTTTAAGTATATGGTCTGATTTATTCATTTTCACACACACAATTAGTTATTTGTTTTTTTTTTTCTAATATTGGGAACTTTAATTTTCTAAAGATGCAAATTCTCATTCAAAGAAGGACAAATAATCACACATTAGTTAATGTTAGAAAGCTTATAAATAGGGAATAATCAAGGTTTTCAGTAAAATAAATTAAAACCTTTCAATGAGCTGGCATTGATCATTGACAGGACAACTGCTAACAGAAATCACTGGGTTAACTTCAACATCGTTAGTTGGTCTCCATGGAAAATGTTGTGCACAAAATCTTCAGCGTTAGTTCCTCAAATATTAGTAACATGAATTAAGTTTAGGGCTCTGTCCTGCAGCAACAAATGGGGTTTTTAAGTGCTATTTTTTATGGAAATACTTCCTTACGAGTATCCATTTCCATATATGAGAAAACACAAGAAAATAGCAAAAAGGTTTATTAAAAAACAATGGAACAGTATACCACATTATGCCAAAAACAAATCAAGATGATTGATGAACAAAACTAAGATGCAATTGTAAAATTGCAATATGTCATTTATGAAGCAATGAAGATATGATTTTATCACCGTTCTCATGCACTAAGATGAGACTAGGTGATAAGAGAGTGCCTCACCGTCTAGGCCTGGCCTGGTAAGGATTATTTACATATAAACATATGGTTAATTTCTTTTATTTCCCCAGTTTTTTATGAGCTAGCTTATTTCCTTAGTGAAGTAGCAACCAGCTAACAATGATAATGATCTAATCATCTAACATGAAAAAAACAAAAGGAAAAGAAATAACAAAATAGAAAAAAAAAAAAAAGGAACTATAGCTGTTTGTGATAAATCACAGAATAAAAGAAAAGGAAAAAACAAAAGGATGAAGCCTCTAATGCGATAGAGATATGCAGGGGAGGGAGTATATGTGGATATAATTGCAAAGTTAAAAAATGAAGCAGTGCAGCCAATATTCTAATCACGGTTAGAAAGGCAATGAGGTGTCATTACCATGGTTTAAAATGTTAATATATTCCCTACTATTTCAACAACATATTTACATTTCCATGGACACCAACACGAAATATGACTGGAATTGACATATTCCTTAGTGAAAATTATCAGTGCCATGTGGAGTACAAGAGAAGCATTATAACATATGTGTAGTAGCAGTATTATAGCCCACCTAATGGACTTGACTACCACTTTAAGCCAGCTCAAAATTCTTATCAAACATTAAATTAAGTCTTAGTTTTTATTTCTGTAATAAATTATCCGGTTGATCTATTAGAATCATTTGCACTTTCTATGAGTTCAAATTTTGTCTGAGCTCACTCTATCATGCAGTTTTGACTCTTAAAGTTTATAAGACAACTTTGTAGAACATTATTTTGTCTAATAACCTTAGTTTCCTAGCTTTGTTTGATGGTTTGGAACAAGATAATAATTTGAAAGGATGTACTCATGCTTATTTTATCATTTTATAAAATATTATTCTATATTTTAATATATCTCACAATGTTTCCACCATGTCTATAATGTTTATAATATATACATCTTACATTTCCAACATGTTTGGATGACCGATATTTCCACCGACACTGACATTTTAAACCTTAATCATTACAAAGTGGGGGGGAAAGAATAAATGAAAAGGGTCAAAACACACAAAAATAGGCCTAACCCTGAAGTTTAAAAAAAAAAAAAAAACATAAGGTTCAAAGTATCAATACACCCCTTCTGCTGTATTGGGGTGTATCAATATTTTTAACCTTGATAGGAATTAAAGAGTACATGAGAAGTAGCAGGATGGTCATCCTTGATTACCCATCCATTGTAACAATATTAAGCACAACTCCCCCAGTCCCCAATATATTGAATTCCATGTGACCCCCTGTTTTGCCAACCCATGCCAGACCATTTGCAGTCCTTGGTATCCACTGTATTGTTAACCCCAAATCCTTAAAATTTCTTTTTCTCTGGTTTCATATCTGTGTTTCCATGGTCCCTCTTCATTTCTTGCCAGCCAACCTATTATAGCCTTCAAATCCCCTTCAATTATTAAATTGCTGAACCTCAAAACCCATCAATGTCATGGCTTACCCAAAACCCACTTATCACTTTCACTCACCGAACAGGTAAAATATTTGCACTATATAAAAAAATTCCTTCCTAATCCTGATTTAGCTAGAGAGTCAGACACTTCGCTTAATTTTCTTGGGATCCATCTAAATCTGCAATTTAAGGGCGCTGAAATATAATTGATTTCATGGAAAAAGTGAGCCAACCTCCAAGGCTCAGTCCCTTTCTTGTTAACCTAGCCAATCACATTCCTGGAATCTCCTACTAGAAGAAACTCTGTCCCTTTGTTGTATAATGCCCCATTTCACATACTACCCTTATGCCTTGTTTATATAAATTTGATATGGTGTAGCTTCAATGCACCCAGTGTTGACAGGACTTGGATCAGGTGCTGACTTTATTAATTCAAGAAGGAAAAACAAAACAAAAATAGAATGGGGTAAAAAGCTAAAGTGACCAAAAAATTCCCTCATTAATTGATTAAAACCTGCTAACCATAAAAAATGGAAGAAGAAAAATAACCAATACCTTTACATCACCACAATCATCAGCAGCAGCAAGAAAGGATGCCTTGGAGCTGCAGGCAATCTGCAAACATGAAACAGGAAACTTCATTTTCATAAAGGTTTAGCTTGCAAAAATATTATTCCACAAATGAAATTAGTATACTAGAATCTATATATGGTCATTATTTTACATGCTAGAGAAGATGGAAAACAAGCTTCAGAACCTAGTGGATGACTATCTTGCTATTGCATGATAGAAGATTTCTTTCACAATAGCTTACCAGGGCATGCCATTGTAGTCAAGGAATCATCCTGGTGAAAAGGCATTTTCAGTGTTCCTAGATGAGGCATCACTTTACTAAATTTCTAAAGTTAAAACCTAATATTAGCTATAGATCAAATTCTGTCATGTTCTTCCTTTTTTCTGACAAAACCACACCATTAAAACTCCTCCAAGCTCTAGCCTCTAGCAACTCAAGAAGAACCCCTCCAGACCCATTCAAAAAGCTTAGACGCTATGTTTGGTGAAAAACCCGGAAAGCCCAAATACGCTTTCATTTAGCCAAGAAATTTACTTTTCTGTAAAGCTGGCTTGAGTAGCTACTACAAAGCGGCTCAGTGAAAGTAGATCAATCAAAGCTGAAGCCCTCCCAAATAGGTCCTCAGTAAACATATGCCTACATCAATCATTCAGTCCTATAAGGAAGAATCCAGATATTGACTGTTGACAAGAGCTTGTCTTCCAGTTTAGATAACCTTCTGCTTTTACCTTCAAGGAGGTTTTTTTCCTCTCTTTCAATGCAGGTTTATAGCTCTACTTATGTTGAACTTCAATTTAGCGTATTTAATTATGTAAAGAACTATTATATACCAAAGTGTAAAGATTCACCTCCAGATTTATTTGTTTTGATAAACATGCATTAATTATTTCATATATGCAATACCAAATAACTCTTTTCTTTTTTCAGTAACTAATTGAAGGAATTAAATTACTCTTTTGTAATTGCAAGTGTAATGTATTGCATTGCATTATATGCAAAATGATGATTTCGTAATTGTTAGATTACACAAAACAGGGGTATTTTGGTCATTTGGGTTTATCTATTTGAGAGTGAAAGGTCTGTTTTATTTAAGTTTAAGTTATGTGTCCCATCACTTATGAGGGACAATATGGTCTTTCTTGTAACTATGTTATTGGAGATAAATACAAGTGGGTCGACTAGAGAGAGGAYKGATTTTCCTCTACTGGCCGAACCCTTCTTCTTCTTCTTCTTCTTCTTCTTCTTCTTCTTCTTCTCCTTCTTCTCTACTATAACCTAGGACTAAATAAGGTTTCACACTAATCATAACAGAAAATTGGAGAGACATCTTTCAAATTCAGCCTATAAAGATGCCCAATGAAATATTAAGCACTCTATCTTTCCTATCACCTGTCAAATATAACAAAGCATCCCATCAAAGATCAGAAATTCTATAGAAAAATATCTAAGAATTCTTTTCTCTCCATATGCACTAATAGACTGCAAGGTAAGGTAAACTCCAAAGGATATTAACATTTTTTACTAAACCCTTGACTGTCCAAGCATCCACCAAGTACCTGGAATGCCCCATTATCTAACAAACAGATTTAAACCATGATACCAAATCTGTATTGAAAATTTGAAGTGCATCAAGAGATGGGGGCGGATTCTGGGCTGCATCACAAAGCACAACACAGACATTTCTAACATCTTCACCCTGATATATGGAATGGTTGTTCATTAGTATCTCATTGAAGTATGATGCCCACATTAGAAACAAATTTTGGTAGGAAGATGTCCTCCATCTCCATGGGAAAGGCTCCCTATCTTCTAGAAGGGCTGGATAAAATGACTTAACAGAGAACACTCCATTAAGATCTGGGTCCCATTAAAGTAAGGTAAATCGAATTAATAGTATATCAAAATAACAGGGGTCTCATTTTATAAATGAAGTAAATAAAACAAGTACAATCAAGGAGGATCAACAAGAAACAAAAAAAGACCTTAGGCTGCCAAAACAGCTTCATCATATGCCCAGTATCCAAGGAAGCAAAAACTAGTCAGCAATTTTGGAACCCCAGTGCAAGCACTCCTTGTAACCCTAATCCTAGATAAAAAGTCAGTTAATTCATTTACCAATCTGCCAATCCAGCTGAATGAGACGTTCCTATGGGTTGCCAATTATCTAGCCTCTGGTACAATAATGAAACACCGACTGACCTTCCCATCTACCTCTCATCCAGCCAATGACCACCTGTGTAAAATCATCATCTTCCTCCGTTTTGGAAAATCTAAGTGTACACCAGTTGAAAGACCTTTAGGAAAAAAAAAAAAAAAGATGTTCCTATGAGTATTTAGAGTTAATGGGGGATGGCTCCTATATGTTTCTTCTGGACCAGTGGGAAATGGTGATTATGTTAGGTTTCCCAAAGTGCACCCATCAATTTTGGTGGATCCATGAACAGGGGAGAACAAATCTGTATTGGCATGTCCATGGACATGGTAGATGCTGCAACCTGAGTGGAACCTCTGATAATAACATCATTGTTGAAGTCCCTAAACTCCTCTCTTAGTCTCTGGTGCACAACCAAGAAGCTACACTGAAAGTGATAAGATCAATGAGAATCTCTGGCTCTTGTCAAGTAGACCTGTTCACGGGCCGGGCAGGGCCAGGTTTGGGCCAGGATTTGTCTCTATATTAACAGAACACATTCAGGCCCAAGCCCAATCCCAGCTAAAAAAATTGGGAAAAAAGTTTTTTTTTCTTTTTTTACTCAATAAAAACCTGATTTATTTTTATTAAAAGACTTCAAAACCCAAAAATAATGAAAGATCTAACTATAGCTTGAAAAAGAGAAACAAAGAAAAGAACATATTATATATTTTGGTTATATAAAATATATCTTTTTATTATATAACATATTATCAAGTCGGGCTCAGGCTCGGGCTCGGTTTTTTTGAGAAAGCCCATGCCTGGCCTGAAAAGGAAGTCAGGCCTGGTATTTTGGGCCCAAGCCCAAGGCTGCAGGCCTAAATTCATGTCCAAGGCCAACTTAGAAAGAGCCGGGCCAGGCCAGCCTGTTGGGCTACCAAGCCCATGAACAGGTCCGTTGTCAAGTGCCTCAAAAACTCTCACATTCATTTCCTCTCAAACCAACCAAAGAACTGTTGGTCTCCCACATCTCTACATAACCCTGCCCCTAGAAGTCCAAGGATAAAATCACAAAACCATGACAAATAAAATCATGCTGAAGTCATTTGTGGTGGTAATTATCTTGCTCTCAAAAGAAAAAAAAAAAAAAAAGCATAAAAAATATGACCCCAGACCCTTGAGGTACAATAACAGGAGATTAGTAGATCACGCACGGTTTCACCATTGGCAGCCCAAAGCAAGCATACAGAGGGTAAAAGGGATGGTACAATTCTTTGTACTAAATTATGTAACCACTGGTTTTATAAGTTATTCTAGATTATCCCTTTTTACTTTTATACTCAGATTTAGATTGGATAAGCCCAATGAGCATCTTATAAACAGCTAGACCTGTTTAACTGAGTACTACTCTTTTTTTTTTTTTTGAGAAAAGGTAATGTTGGTCACATTTACAAACATAGAAATGCCAACAAGAGCTCGAAAGGACACTTTCAGAATGATGAGAAAGGGAAAGAAAGATACAATAGCAATCCAAAGCAATTCATATCATTCAGTATAAACTAAGAAAAACATGTTCACAAGGAAAGATCAAATTCTAGGAGCTGTCATCCACAACAATTACCTGGTTTATCTCATCCTTGTTATAATTGTAACTTTCCAAAGGCTTCCATGAAGATGCCTGCAAAGTGAAATAAGTATGTAATTTAAATGACTGAACTTAGGAGTTGAAAGACATTGAATCTGTCTACCTTCTTCAGAAACCAAATCAACAGTAAACAACTAGATAAGGGCAATAGTTACTACCAACTGGAGGAATAAAATTAACATACCCTACTGAATCAATCCCTGCTAACATGGTATTAAACATGCAATGATGCATGCATAATGTAAATGGAAGTTAATACCACAGAAAGACTATTTTTCTGGTTAAAAACAGGATTAAACCCATTAAATTGCGAACAAAGATAAAAGGTGCATTATATAGCATTTTAAAATTATCATCATCATCCATGCCTTATCCCAACTATATGGGGTCGGCTACATGAATCATGTTTCGCCAATCCATTCTATTTAAAGCCATATCCCCTGTTAAATTATTAGTACTTCATTTCTTACTACTACCCATGACCTTTTTTGTCTACCCCTAGTTCTTCTAGCCCCTTCCACTTGTAACAAATCATTTCTTTTAACTAGAGCTGTTGGTGGTCTTCTATGCATGTAACCAAACCATCTTAGTCTACTCTTTCTCATTTTATCACTTATCGAAGATACTCCTAGGTTTCTAAGGATGGCTTCATTCCTAATCCTGTTCTTTCTAGTTTTTCCACTCATCCATCTTAACATTCACATTTCTGCCACTCATTTTCTGAACATGTTTCTTGACTCCCCAACACTCTGCTCCATACAACATAGCTGACCTTATAATTTGTTTTGTAGAATTTTCCCTTTAACCTAAATGGTATTCTCCTATCACACAGAAGTCCAAATGCACCTATGCACCTCTCCGTTTTGCCCAACCTGCTCTTATTCTTTGGGTGACATCCTCTTTAATCTCTCCCTTGTTATGAATTATTGAATCAAGGTACCGTGGTCACATTGAATTATCTCTTGGTCTCCAATCCTTAGTCTTAGTGTATCCTATTTACACTTCTATTATTACTAAACTTACATGTCATATACTCTATTTTGGTCCTACTTATTTTAAAACTTCTTGTTTCTAGGGCATTTGTCCATGATCTTAATTTTGCATTTAATCCTTAATTAGTTTCATCAATTAAAACAATGTCACCTGCAAACAACATATACCATGGAACTTCCTCCTGAATATATTTAGTCAATTCATCTATGATCAGTGCAAATAGATAAGGGCTAAGTGCTAAACCTTGGTGAAGACCCATCGTAACTGTAAAATCTGAAGTCTTTCCCACTGGTGTTCTAACATTGGTTGTTGCCCCCTCATACATATCCTTAATTAGGCCTATATACCTATTTTAAACCCCTTTATTTTCCAAGACCCAACATACTAGCTCAAGAAACTGGACCAGAAAAGCTTCTTATGCATGAAGCTCAGTTCCCAAAGCCACCTAGAGTAAAGTCAATAAGTAGAAAATAGAGAACAGAATCCCATCAAGTATTTTGGCAAGTACACTTGAATATTATTTGTCTCTTTCTTAAGATGACAATTTGGTGGCCAGAATTTGGGAAGACTCTAATTCTAATGCAGATACAAAAGGGCCAACAGGGAAAATTATTTGATTAATTGGAAAATAGAATATCATCCAAAGGACAACAATTAAGCATTAGGTCATTTGAAGTGAATAAGTTCTTGTAGAAAATAGCAGAGATATGGATGTTGTGATATTGAGAGGTACATGAGTGAAGGAGGTAATAGACATGGAAATAGCTATGATCATTAAGTATGGTAGAAGAAATAAAGACTGGGGCAGTAGGGAACATCCTAACCTTTATGGGGTCAAGTTTTGTAATTGAATTAAGTATTTGGATGTTTTTATTTTATAAAGAAAGATAAAATGCTCAAGTGGGTGAATTTGAAATCTCATCTGTACTCAAATAAATTGAGAAGACATGAATTGAAATTGATAAAGATCAAGAATAGATGAAGAATTATGCAAATATCCATGATCCTCCTACGGATATTTTATTTCTCAAGTAGGTCATATGATAAGGAATTCATTGTGACTCCTTTAATCAGGAAACCATAATTAGTTATCAAATGCAATTGGAAGTTTGGAACACTACTCGCCTGACCTGGATTTGGAATGGTTGGACTAGTTGAGACAAAAGAATCACTATCAAAATTTACTATCAGAATTGCTATAGATATTTTTGAGTCTCTAAAGTAGCTTCACTGATTTTTTTTGGTCCATGTCAAAACACCACTTAAGAAGTCTATTTAAAACCCACAAATTAACAATATGGAACAGTTTATGGTAATTTTTAATTAGGTTATCAAATGGACAAATCAAAATATTCAAAATCTTAAATCAAAATCCAGTTATGCACCAAATTCATAAAGTGCTCAATGTTGAGGTGGATGGTTCAGCTAGGAGTGTAGGAATGGCATTTTTGTATAGCAACTACTCTTCTCTTAAATTTATCAAAATTAAAAAAAATAATAAAAAATAAAACTACTCTTCTCTTAAATTTTGTTGAGGTGGATGGTTCAACTAGGAGTGTAGGAATGGAATTTTTGTGTAGCAACCAATGTTTTAAAACACGGAGGTGTGACACGAGGCATTCCACTACCTAGAAGCATGAGGCGTAGTTCAGAACGTAAGAGGCGTAAGCCTCCTGAACACAAGGAGGGGGTTAGGAGGAAGGAGGAGGAAGGGGAGGAGGAAGAAGAGGGAGAGGGGATCTCATTTTTCTTTATTTTTAATAAAAATCTTTCATATTAAGAAGAATAAAGATGCATAGCACTAATTGAAAGGGGAGCGGGGGGGGAGCCCCCTAGCCGAAGGGGCCAGGGGCAGACCACTTTCTTTCCCCTTATCTTTTTTTCCCTTCCCTTTGCTTTTCTCTTTTTTTTTCCTTCTCTTTCTTTCTTTTTCTTTCCCTTCCCTTTCTTTTCTTTTCCTTTCCTTTCCTTTTTTTATTTTTTTCTTTTTTTTCAGTCTTTTTATATGAGGTGTGCATGAGGCGTACACCTCAAAGGTGTCAGCACCTCTGGCATACGCCACAGGGCGTTTTAGGAGCACCTCGCCTGGAGGCGCGCCTCCAAGCATACGCCTTCCATGCCTTTTAAAACACTGGTAGCAACTACTCTTCTCTTAAATTTTGTTTGAGGATGGAGTTGCATTGTTCTTTTTGTACCAGAGTGTACACCCTCTCATGTACATTTTCTATCCTTAAACGAAATATAAAGTTGAAGAGTTTAGCCTTGCTGATTGAAATGATCATATAAACAGGTGAAGTAGAGAGGATTGATCATTGATCTATATTAGGAGTCTGCCTTGCTAGGAGAGATTTTATTTTTATTATGCATCTGCAATTATTTTTATTTTTAGTCCTTGTAGCTTATATTTATCCTTGTCTTTTTCAGGAGAGTCAAATATAGCATTGCTTCTACTCTTTTTCGATGGATTTAACAAATGTTATTATTAGAAAATTAGTAAAAAGAGGGGGAAATGGAACTCTTCAGTCATGCCGTTGGTCACTCTTGAAACTACATTTGCCCTTATTGTCCATCTAGGTTGTTGTGAATCAATTTCCAAAATGAAACAACTTAACAGGCTTCTGGTAGACATGCATTTGCTTACCAAACCTTCGTGAATCACTTGAAGTACTCAAATAACAAAGTGAAATGATAGGAAAAATTGTAAATACTTTGTATGACAACAGGTTGTCAAAGCACAAACACCTGTTCAAAGAGATACAAGTTACAAGGAAGAAGACAAAGAAACATTTAAACCAATTGTCCTATTAACCAACTAGAATTAAAATTAAATTACCTTAAATAATTAAGTTAAAACAATAAATGGTAAAGCAGTAAAAAGATCGTGCATAGCACAATGCACACACATATGTATGAAAATGCCATTTCGACATTGACGGCTTGGCTTAGTGCATTCTCACATGCATGAAAAGCACCCATGACATGTGAGGAAAATGTATAGTGTATCCTCTAATGGAACCCTATCCATAAGGAGAGAAAGTTAATTAATTAGGAGGGCCTCACCTCTTTTCCCCAACAATATGGGACTAAGAGCCTTCCCATGTAACTATAAGAGGTTAAGACAAAAGGACAAGATATTAAATACCATCAAAGTACAAAGAAACAAACAAGAGATAAAAAGATAATAGGGGCAAGAAGGACAAAACACATAAAAGAGAGGGAGAGAAAGATTCATGTATTTTGAATCTTCCCTCCAAACAACAATAAACACAACAATGATTTCAGCTTCTGAAGGAAATAAAGGAGGAACTCCGAGAGGCACGTAACTCACTTTCAAAAAAGATTTACATAGACGCACTTCATTAAGAATTGGAATGCCCCTATCTTCTGTGAGGGTGGAGAGAAAATTTTGTTTAGGAATTTAAAGGAGTTGGTGAAGAAATTTGAGCTTATCTCTAATCTGAAAATCAATCTTGATAAGAGTTGCATGGCAGGAATCAACTTGGAGGAAGAGGAACTGAACTTTGCCGCAAATATTTTAGAGTGTCCTATTGCTAGTTGGCCATTGACCTACCTAGGACTTCCTCTAGGTGCAAACCTCAAGGAAAGCAGATTCTAGAACCCCATAGTGAAGAGATGTGCAAAGAAATTGGCAGCTTGGAGGAGGAATTGTGTATCTTTGGAAGGAAGGATTACTCTGATCAAATCCATGCTTGCTAACCTTCCAATCTATTTCCTATCAGTGTTTAGAATCCCCCAAAAAGAAGCCAAGAAAATTGAGAAGATTATGAGAGATTTCTAGTGGGAGCTAGGTGATGGAAGGAAAGATCATTTGATCCCTCCTGTTTTACTTGGCCAAAGAAGAGAGGGAGGATAATGTGGAGATTTTTTTTTTTTTTTTTGAAAGGTAATGTAATGTTATTCAAAACAACAACTCAATTACAGACTGAAATCAGACCCAAGAAGGCAGTCTGAAAAACAGCCGGGTTACAATCTCCACCAGGAGGATAATGTGGAGATGTGTTAGAACAGCCTTGATTTGGACCATTTGGGAAGAGATAAATGCAAGAATCTTCTTAGAGAAGGAGAGAAGCAAGGAAGAAATCAGGATTTGTGTAATGGTTAGGGTGACCCACTGGATCAAGACTTTGGAGTTGTTCTCCCAGTTCTCTTTAGATGATATCTGGAGGAATTGGGAAGTAGTTGCTAAAAGCTCTAAGAGAAAGGATAGAGTGGAGGTGGTCTGGATACCACCAATTGAAGGTTTTGTTAAACTGAAATTTAATGGGAGTAGCCGGGGTAATCCAGGCCCTTCTAGAATTGAAGGGGTGGTGATGGAGTAGGTAAACTTATAGCACTTTTTTCTGGCCCTGTGGGTATGGGTGCCTATCTCAAAGCTGAACTGCATGCTGCAATTCAAAGGGTGCAGACAGTTAGTGAGCTAAACTTGACAAATGTGGTGATAGAAGGGGACTCAAAAGTGGTGGTAGAATGGCTAAGAAATCCTGAGTCTATAATTCAGTGCTACATGAGTGAAATGAAAAAGTTTACATGGGTAACTAGGAATATGAATTTAAGGATACAATGGGTAAGGAGATCAGCAAATGAGATGGCAGATGCTTTGGCTAAGCAAGGGATGAACAGGTCTATTTTATTCAGGGTACAATTGTAATGTGTTTTCTTTTTGTATGAGAGGTAGCAGCTCGTGCCTCTCTAAGGGATGATTGTAAAGATTTTACATAAAGTCTTTTAATAAAACTCAAATTATTCATCAAAAGAAAAAGAAAAGCCACAATAGAAGCCTCCACACCAGGAGGAACACAAAACCCCAGATCCCAGTCCACTCAACATGATCAACCACCCCTGGCTAAGGCTACATAAAAATATCTCACTGAAGCTGCTTACGAGCTCTTCCTTCCAAACAATCTCATACCTCTATACAGCCAAATAAATAATGCCTTCAAGCTTTTAAAGGAGTAGAATGCATTCATCAACTTCAATGTTTACTGTTAAGAATGGGTCTCCAGCAAAGGAGACACACTGGAACTTACTCCCTTTTGTAATACAGTAGAGCCTTTTTAATGGAAAATTGTCTTTTGAACATCAATTTGAAAGATTTTCAAGGTTTGAATTTTGAGCATTTGCAAAATCAATGTAAGTTTATAATCTTCTCTTGTTTTTATGTATAAAGGACAACTCACATTAAATAACACTGATAAGACTTCAGTCCAAAGATCTGGAAACTAATCAACAGAAAAAAGTAAAGGGGCCAACAATAAAACAGGTAAAAAAATTACATATAGACACTTTATTAACAATCAAAGGACCAGAAGAAGCAAACTGGAATTTTTAGATGTTAAGGAATGTATAATTACCAAATGCACATCAAAACACATGACTTCTGCTCCTGAAGACGCATAGAGAACATCTTCGTTTCCTGCCTCAAGGAATGACAACTCAGTCAAAGAAAACCATTCTTAGCCTATTTCTCAAGCTTTTAACTTTACAATATGGGAAAGAGGTAGATGACTCAAAGTGAAAGGGGGGGGAGCATATTATGGTAATAACATTTATATTCTCACAATTCTATGCATTTATTGAGTCTTTCTTCCCCTTTTTTTTTGATAAGTATCTTTCTTCCCATTAAATAGCTATAATGATTAGGAGATACCATAACACTTCCTAAATTTTAATGGGTTCTGAACATATTCTTTCATGCAAACCTTATAGTTGCCTAAATATATTTGACCTATAAGCATTAATGCAGAAAGCACACAAGCAGCTTAAACCATTTGTCATTGATAGCTCATAATCCAAAAACATGTAAGCATATAAAACCAATGAATGAGATAAGAAAAGGTATCAAGTTTCAATTTTCACTTATCCCCAAAAGCATATGTGGATCAAGTTCTCACAGTATGATCTCCGCCCAAGATTTGGAAACAGGCACTAGCATATATATTTCACAGATGTGAAGTTTAAAGAGAACAGACAAAGGTAACTACCCAATGTGAGACTCAACCATCCGAGGTCTTGGGAGGAGTAGACTTAGTAAAGTCCTAACCTTGGATTTTTTTTATTGCTCAAAGTGGCCACCCTGAGACTCGAATCTGCGTTCTCACCCTTCCCAGCCCAAGATTTTACCATTACACCAAGTAATGGCCCCTTAGAGGGAATAGACAAGTTTTGCAAAAACTAATCTTGAATTCCACATAAAAAAGGTATACTTGAAATTAATTAAGCGTGGCTGCTGGAAGGAAGGAACAAATTTACACATAACAAAACACTTACCTGGCTTGAAACACATAGCTGAAATAGGTTTCTTCCCTAGATCCATGGTAAATAAAACATCTTTGCAACGCATATCAAACCAGCAAATGCAACCATCCTGTTTCCATCAGATTATAGAACTAAATTAAAGTGAAACAAAATTTTCTCTTGACATTATCATTGAGGTTACAGTAATCCTTCTTTGTTTTTTAATTGAAAAGGTCATGAACATGATAAGAAGATGCACCGTGCTTAACCGACTACAACATGCTTGTTATTCATATATAGCCAATAAACAAAACACGGGCTCATCTACAAGTCTCATGAAAAAGCGCATTCATCCAACAAGATGGCCTATGAGGACATGACTCTATGATACAAGCAATTTCTTAAAGTCGCACATGCATAGTTTCCGAGCTTAATTCGATTGAAAAATTATAATATTAAATTACAGGCATCTGGACTTTATTGCAATTCTTGAGCATAACATTAAATGTTTTCTTTTCCCATAGAACAAGCTTTAGACATAAGAAATGGTTGTGTAGTCGAGGTAAATGACTAGAGAACAGAGGGCATGCCCAGCCTAGAAATCTGCAAGTTCATTGTATTTCATTTTCTTGATATAAGTTATAAGTGAATGCATTAAACGAAGGAAGAGAGAGAGAAATAAAATGGTACCTCGCCGGAGGTGGCGACGACACCAGGCCTGTCACGGGAGGCGATGCAGCACGTCACAGTTCCCTTGTGGCCTCTCAATCGTCTGGGCTTCATGGTTTGCTCGGTGGTCATGGCTGATTCCCTTCTACCGGTTTTCTGCTGTTAGCTTTTTGATTCTTTATTCTTCGCGGGTTCTCGAATTCGACTATGCTACCGGGAAAAAGCTTATAACCAATCAATCGGTCATTCGGTCTTTCCTTCCTTGATGGGCTGATGGACGATGGCCCATTCATTACGTGAGTTTATAAGGTAAACATCGGAAGGTAGGTGAGTGAATCAAATGGGGCTGGTATAGGATAGGATATGTGGTGGGTTGTAGAATAATACATTTAGAAAATTAATAAAAATTTATAAGGGAAATACATCATTAAATTTTCACAAATAATTTTAATATTTGATATTTCTTTTTAGATTTTTACTGCTTTGGAATATGAATGTGAAAAATAGGGTAAATTACAAACGCCCACCCTAAGTGTTGGGTCATCGCATTTAGCCGCTAAGCCTGAGTTGGAGTCCCACCTTCACCCAGTTTGGGGGGAGGGTGTCTAAGGGTGTAAGGGTTTGGGGAGGGCAATCGGCTACCCCTGTTGTGTAGCCCATTATCATTAAAAAAAAAAAAAGGTTAAAAGGTTAAAGGCTTAGATATATCCTGAGATTTCATAAATTGATTTAAATATACTGTATTTAGTTTAAAGAAAAAAGATAGGAAAAGGCAAGGAAACGTTTGTAAAGCTTTTTCTACTTTTTCTCAGCTGGTGATATTCCTCTTTTTCTTCTAAGGAGAGAAGAGAGGAGGAAATGGGGAGAGAAAATGGAGACAAAAAAAGAAAAAATAATTGGATTAGATCAGATGGTTGTGATTCTCTGCTGGTGAGTTCATCGATGAGTTCTTTGTTTTAAGGGTAAAATACAAAAACCTCGCTTGAGTTTTCTAACAATCATAAAAACCTCCCTTGTGTTTTCATTTTAATAGAAACCTCCCCTGTACTTTTTAAAAAACATGCAATTACCCCTCCTTCCTCTTCCTCGGTTGAAAAGCCGATTTAATGTGCTTGTTTTTTTAAAATGCCTATTTTGCCCTTATGTCTATCTATTTAGATATAAATTTATTAAGATACCCTCCAAAACACTGTTCATTTTCTTCTGAGAACTGAGAACCAAATCCGCCGGCCTTCTCTCTCAAGTTTGTTTCACTGTCTTTTTGTTTGCCATATCCATCGCATACTCATGGCCTTAATCATTTCTAGAGTCTCCTTAGCGTGTCTTGGAAATGTTTTAGTGGATTGGCAATGGTACGGAAGCCACCATTGTAGTAAACGGAAGCATTTGAGTATAATTTTTGGAGATCAAGTGCTTTGTAATCAAGGATCTTCTGTGCTTCTAGTAGGCAGTAATGAAGATCTAAATCCCCTCTGTGCTTCGAGCATCTTTTCTACTTTTCAAGCAAGATCTAAATCCCTTCTGTGCTCTTTAATCAAGTGCTCTGTAATCAATGTTTCGTCAAAATTTACAACACCATAATCAAATTAACACATATAGATGAAATTAAAAAAATTTTGAATTACCCGTGTAATTGAGAGTATAACACAAACCATTGCAACCACAAGCCTTGACACCAAGCTTGAGAAACTAGCTTTGTCATTTCTCTAATAGATGGCGTATTCTAACGACTACAACGTCCATTAGCATAAGTATTTGTTACAGCTCTGGACCAACCTGTAAATATTCTTTCTGGCTATTTTTACCCTTTCTTTGATCTGCTCCAACTGTCATCCTTTTTTTAGTCTTGTCACTAGTTCCTACATTCCAAGAAAAAATACATTTTGCTGTTAAAAACTCTTAAAACCAACCAAAGTCTAACTGTTTAGAAGATGATTCTCACCTTTGCTCGGTTGATGGGTCGAAGAAGAAGAAGAAAAAGAAGAATCATCTTTGTCGCTGAAGTCAAAGCCCATGACATTGGAGATGGTGTCAAATTCCGATTAGAGGTCTTGCAACGCCAAATTATGACTATGCTTCACATCAATGAAATCGGAGATGATAGCTGTTCTGTTCATATTTGGTTCAGATAGAGAAACAAATATCAAAATCAAATAAACCCAGAGTGATTCCACCACACACGCCTTTCATTTATAATGCATCCGTTATACTTAGATCCCTGAACCATCCATCCAATAATACTAAAAATGAACAAAATCGTATTCTTTTTGGTGCAAGCATCTCTAATGGAGGGCAAATGAAAGGACGAAGAAGAAGAATACATATTGTATGATGGAGATCATGGGTGATGAGGAGGGGCATGTTTTGAAAATTTAATCAACAAGTAAGGACATTTTTGTCTTTTACATGAGAGAAGACTGGCAACTCTGGTCCTGAGTTGTCGAGAAAAATTAAATAGTGTTTTGAAGGATATTTTAATAAATCTACATGTAGGCATAAGGGCAAAATAGGCATTTAGAAAAAAACAAGCACATTAAATCGGCTTTTCAACTAAGAAAGGGAGGTAGTTGCATGTTTTCTAAAAAAGTATAGGAGAGGTTTTTGTTAAAGTGAAAACACAGGTAAGGTTTTTATGGTTGTCAGAAAACTCAGGGGAGGCTTTTGTATTTCACCCTTGTTTTAAACCCAAGTGGAATTTCTTTTCAAAAAAAGCAAAACTCAAGCCATCAATGGTCATTGTGTCCCATTTAGACTACATTTGGTATTCCTTATTTTAAGGATTTATCTCCTTTTTGCTGTTAAAAATTCATTGCTCATAGGGGCATTGTAACTGCAAAAATGAGAGAAATCCTTAAAACAAGGGATACCAAATGCAGCCTTAAAGGTATTTATGCCAATGCATTGGAAAAAGAATGATATATTGGCATAAAGCACTTCCTCAGCGATAAAATTCTGTTAGTTTGTCTTTTCCAAATTTATGAACAAAAAATGCCCTTGGATGGGTGGATATTCCATTTTGTTTGAGCAAGATCTCAGTGTTCATTTTAAAACCTCAATGTATATTGAACAAAGAACTCACCATTCTAAAACACAGCCATGCTGTTTTGTCTTTAAAACAAAGAAAACACTTTGTCCAAACCATAACAGAACTGGCATTCTCTACTTGTGAGTTCTTTGTTTGAAGGAAACATTCTATTTGTCTTTCTTTGGTTCTTTATGAAAATTTAAAAGAAGATCGAGGATGAAAGAGTCATGGGGTGAGATGTGCGGACATGGTGGGCCCCAATCTCATGGTGAGATGTGCAGACACACAGATCATGTTAGTAGCATGTTGGGATAGTTTTTGTTGTGCATAGATCTTAGCTCTCACCTTAGGGCTTGAACTTTCAAAGTCCAACTCTATTAGCTAACGTTACAAAAAAATGCCCATGTTTTGACTTTCTTTTGGCACTATTCATCTTTCTTCTGCCTTTCAACTAAACTAGCAGAAGCAAAATAAGTGTTTGAAAGTGAGAGTATACCTAAGTGAACAAACCAAGGTGAGCTTACTCTATTTGCCACTGGATTGCATCCAAAGTCTAAAGGCAGAAGAAGATGACTAGTGAAACTAGCCATGAACAAAAGTAAATGACGAAAATACAACTAAAACTAGATAATGAAAGCACATACCTACATGGATCATACAATCAATGTTTACGTACCATGGTTCAAAAATGAGCCATGAACAAAATAGCCTCTTTTGCATTGTGTGGTTTAAAAAATGTTATTTAATTTCAAAAAGTAAAAAGTATGATTCTAAAACCATAGCACCATACCACCATTTTTAGGGTCTCTTTGGTTTGCAAGAATAGGGGTCCTAAATTGGAATTGGCATCCAACCAGTTTGGTTGAACAAAATCAAAATCTGATTCCCATTCCTGATGGAATGGCATTCTCTCATTTGAGCCCCCTCCCTAGGAATGAGAATCCCACTCCAGCTGATACTGATTCCCATCTGAACTAGATGGGTGGGGGGAATAAACCAATCCAATTCTGACTTCTTGACATTAAACCAAATGGACCCTTGGAACAATGAACCAAACACCACCTTAATTTTTTTTTTTTTTTTTTTGTAAAATGCACCTTAAACACTTCTTTATATATATATATATATATAAAACACAGTAGTGAAGAAATTTTATTCTTTTTTGAATTTTCTATTTTCTTATTCCATGTCATTTTTTAAACAATCAATTATATTCTCTCTCTCTCTCTCTCCCTCTCTCTCTCTCCCTCTCTCTCTCTCTCTCTCACATTCCCAATAACCTAAATAATTTCATCTCCTAAAATTTCTCCTAAACTACCTCCCCCACTATCCCTCACTTTCTCCTAAATTATCTCTAATCCTATTTATCCTCTCTCCCACTTTTTATCTATATCTATCTAAAAAGCGTTTGTCGATCAATCCCCATTAGGTTATTATGATTTATCAGATCACCACCCCTACACCCATCGACCAAATAGGAGAAATAGCAAGTGGTAAAGAGATTTAAAACTTCTATGATTCTATCCTCAAACCTTGGAGGTCGATAGTCAATGTCAATACTTTCAACCTCCCACACCTACACACAAACAGAAGTCCGATAGTTTCTCTCTGGGTTTCTAGAGTTTCCCTCTCTCTTGGATCTGAGAGAGTCTTCATCTCAGGGTTTCCTTGGTTACTTCTCTTTGTCCACCCTCCGTTGTCCTTCTTCTATCTTCAGTCGTTTTTGGGGTGACTCCCCGTTCTTCTCCGCTTCTCCCTTTCCTTCACTCCTCTCTCTCCTCCTTGATTTTCTTGTTCCACTTCTCGTTCTTTCCTCTCACCCATTCTTCTCCTTTATCTTTTGTTTTTATCTTTTTGTTCTTTTATGCAGGGATTTTGATACAAGAGGTTGGCTCTTCCATGAAGAATTTGGTGTTGGGTGATGGTCTTCATTGCTTCTTTGCTTTCACCATCAGTGGCTATTTCCATAGTGTATTTCACCGGCGGTTACAGTTCCGAGTGGCTCCAGTTTCTTGGTGCAGTTGTTACTGTCCTTATCCCTTACTTTTGATGGTTGGAGATGCACTCAACTATTTCTTCTGTTGGTGTGAGTCGTTATTAGCTTTCATACAAGTTTCTTAGTTTGAATGAAATATGATTCTTGCCTTCAAAATAACTCTAAAAAAAGTTTGAATTAAAAAAATTAAAAATTATTTAACATTCTCATGAAATTATATAATAACTTTAAAATATTTATTGAAAACACAAAAAATAGTTATACTCTTTCTCTCTCTCTCCCACACGTTCCCAATAACCTAAATAATATCCTC